ATTTAAAGCTCAATATTTTCAACAGGAGTTCAAAATTTTAAATGCGGCTTGCAGATTTTAAGAGCTAGTTTTTTCGGATTAAGCTATATGACGTATATTTATTGTAGGTTTATTATATACGGAGTGATCAATGAAGTCATGTAAAAAATCAAAAAGTTTGTATGAGTAAAATTTCCGCAAAATTTTTTTTTGGTCGTTGCAATATGGTTTGTTACTAAGGTAACATCAATATTTCTAGATGTTTTTGTAATTTTTTGGATTAAGACCCTTAGGTCTTGTACACCCTACTAAACATAAAATTTGGGTAACAAAATTTTTAAAATGCTATAACGTGACATTGGATTGACGGTTTTTGATGATTTTTGCGGATTTGGAATCCTTATTTCACGTAAATTTTCTATGGTCTAAGCATTTTATTTGAGGGTTGAAATTCACACATTATACCGGGTCAACAATAGACAAAAACGTAGCGACAAGAACAAGTTTATTACATTATATTCTACAGTATACAAGATTGGCGGCCAAAAGTGAATTCTTACAAAATTTCTAATTCTAAAATTAATTTAAAGGTTCCTGCAATCCCAAAAAACACAAAGTACTGTAATAAAAAAGATTAGGTAGGTATGTATGTATAGGGATACCCATAGATAAATTAATATTAAAAGATAAACCGTTTAAATGCACGGCACTGGTAACAAGCTTAGTTCCCGGCCATACTACTATCATCGCACGCTACACAATTGACTGATTAACTTGATAGTTAGAGTCAGCATAAATGAATAAAATTAAAAAGAAGAGTGTCAAGCCTAAACGCGGCTCATTCAAAATGTCCTTTATTATTTATTTACATTTCTTGGCATTCATTACTTTTAAAAAACTAATATTTACATTAAAATACTGTATTCAACATAGATATTAGTTTTTTAAGTAATAAAACTCCAAAAAATATAAATTAAAAATATTTACATTAAAATATTTGAAACACAGGTATAGTTTAATCATTTAATAAAAGTAAGCAGGTGTATTCAAACGTTTATTATATACATAACATGTACAAATAACAATCACTGTAAGTTAAATTAATGTTATTCACCTCTCATTCTTGGAAAACTGGTCCAAATTTCGATGCAGGTGTCAGACAAATTTGAGTTTGAAAATTACTTTTCATTTTAAACAGACACAAAAAGGATAGTTATCCTTTAAATTCTGTATTGAATAATCATTAAAGTTCGAAAGCCCTCTCACCACGGCAAAGTTTCAATCCGAGAGGAGGAAAAATTGAAACTTATTAACTGTTAATGATATAGAAATTTATAAAAAATAGAAGTTTACTTTAACAATCAAATCATTTAGTGTAGGTTTACTACAATTTAGAAAAATATGGCTTAATTGGCAACGAAATGAACTTTCTTAAACAATTATATGCTCTTGGACCATTTTTATACAATGCTAAAGAAAAAATTTTATTCTGAGTGGTCCAAGAGGGTTTTTTTCTTCGACAGTTTTCTAAGCTACTTTTAAAAAAATTTCATATCAACCGGATCTAATTTCTTATTAATATATGAGTTTTGGATAATTCAAATGCCCTCTTGATTTTATTTTTGGAAACACTGAGCGCTTTCTTTAATTTGCAAATTCTAATATTTTGTTCTCTATTAATAAAATAAAGCTTTTTCTCTTTAGGAGTTAAATTTTTGACTCTACTTTCATTTAATTGTTGCAAAACAGTTTTTCTCCGTTTGGAGGGTTGTTCAAATTGTTTATCACTAGTACTAAGTTTACGTTTGCAACTTTGTTTTTCATTGCGGATTAGTAAAAGTAAATCTATTTTATGCTGCTGTGTATGTGCTTCAGCCTCAACATTTTCTAAAATTTAACTCTCGGGTTGAGTATAGTTAGGTATAGTTGAACTGGATGTACTATTATCTAATAAAATTGGTACAGAATTTGCAATTAGTCGTTTACGCTTTGAAGCAATTTTACTAAAAGACTCTGGCAAAAAATTATCTTCACAAAGATAGCGAATTTTAATATCTAAAGATAAATTTAAATTCTTACACCAGTTCTTGCGAATTTTAATATCTGAAGGAAAATGAAAAAAGGTTTTATTTGAATAACCATCCTGCTGAATATTAGAATACTTATTTAAACAATTAGGAGTTGAACAAAATTACTTAATTTTACCCGGGCCAGACATGTTTTGTTACAAATAGGTATATTAAAAAGGAATTGAAAATCGATCCAAAATTAAATGTTACTTCGTTAAGGCTATAAGAAAACAATGATAAACACAGTCCTTAAACAAATCTAACACCTTATTAAAATAAATTGTTAATACTTACTAATTACTACATCAAAGCGGCACTTAGCAATCTTCTTAACCTAAAAATAACTTACCTATCTATCTATCTATCTACATTATCATAATAACTTTTATTTCATGTTTTTTTGTGGGTTTTTCGACCATTTCGCCCACCGCCATTCCCTTTTTAATTTTTTACGAGGTTGTCAAACCTCTTTTTAAAATATCCCAGAAATAGTATGGCCATTGTATGGATGGTATCGAGCACGACAAGAACAAAATAAGATGCCGCTTATGCGTTTGAAATAACTCTAATCTCATGAAAGTTTCTGGAAACTGGCAACATCGCTGCCATCTAATTTGCGATGGTGGCTCCAAGTAGTATGGCCGGGAACTAACCACGCTAACCACTTGTTACCAGTGCCGTACATTTAAACGGTTTATCTTTTAATATTAATTTATCTATGGGGATACCCAGTGGTAATTGGTATTGGTAATTTTTAATAAAAAAAAATTAGCCTGAAAAACATTAATTGTCAGTCCATTATTTTTTTTTTTTTTAATCCCACTGCGTCAAAGATAGGAATTGCATACTTGCTTTTTCGGAGTTTACAATGAAATTGGGTTATTGTTGGCAACAGCGTGTTAAAAGGACGAGACCATTGAAAGCAACCGGCAAATATCAATGGAAAAATGGCAAGTGTCCTATCTTTACATACCTAATCTTTGGTAATAATTTACCCGAAATGGGGTAAAATAATTAAAACAAGAGAAACTAATATTTTGTTGGTCCTCCTGCTCGACGTATTACTTCCCAACATCAATTTGGTAAAGGATCCACAAGATTATTTATAAATTCTTGTGGAATATTCTCCAATTCTTCACGAATGGCCCCACTAAGCGTTTCTGAGGTTTTAGGGGGTACATCACGCGATCTTTAAGTTTTAAATAAAATCAAACGTGTTCGATGATCCGGAGACTTAGCAGCCCATCCTATTGATGTGCTGTGCATGCAAAAACTCTGTGATACTTCACGCTCTGTGAGGTCGAGCGTTGTCATCCACGAATAGAAATTCTGGGCCGTAATTACGAGCAAAAGGAACAACAATAGGTTACAAAATTCCCTTCTGGTAAACAGTAGAGTTAACGGTTTGATTGGTAATGAATAGCTCGGTTTTACCATTTCATATTATACCTCTCCACACTGTAACACCTCCGCCACCAAATGCGTCTTAAGGGGTCATATTTTCCTCCAAATACCGCTGATTTGACCTTCTCGAAACTAACATTCGACCATTGAAATGAATCAATGAAATCTTGTTTCGTCAATAAATAAACAATGACTCCACTCTGCATTACCCCAAATCGCATGCCGATTGGCTCATGCCCGCCTATTCGCTCTATGGTGTTGTAATAACTGCACACATTTTGCTCTGCGACGGGCTCTATTATTTAAAATGTTTGGCATTATGTTGTTTATGAAAAAAAAATTCTCACCTCAAGTTGTTTCTTTTTCATGTTCTTCAAACTGTTCTGTCCGAAACTCGAAGTTTGTTACCTTAAAGAGGCATTTAGTTTTCTAGAGTTCTTTATTATATTTTGCATAGTTTCTCTCATTAAAATTCTTTCGATTTTTTGGTTTATTTTTTTTATATGTCCACCCCAATGCCCATAATTGTGATCACCAGTAATTTCGACGCGACGGTTCAAATTATAAATTGTCCTTCGGCTGACATTATAAATGTGCGCAATTTGCTTTTTTGACATTTCTTCGTTGAGAAGTGAAATGCAATTTTCCCTTTTTGCCGTGGTTAAACGCCTCATATTAATTAAAATTTACAACACTATAACATTGACAAAGAACTCTGTAAAACTGAATAACTCTTTGAGACAACAAACTGGGGTGGGAGTTATGGGCCATTAAATAAAAACAACTTGAGGTGAGAATTTATTTTTACAAGAACTTAAATAATGCCAAACCTTAGAGCGCGTCGTACGCTACGTTTTTGTCTTTTATCTACCCGGCATTATGTGTAAATTTTGACCCTCAAATAAAATGCTTAGACCATAGAAAATATACGTGAAATATGGATTCCAAATCCGCAAAAATCATCAAGAACCGTCAATCGAATGCCGGAATTTTAAAAATTTTGCTACCCAAATTTTATGTTTAGTAGGGTGTATAAGACTTAAGGGCCTTAATCTAAAAATTGACAAAAATGTCTTGAGATATTGATGTTACCTTAGTAAACCATATTGCAATGACCAAAAAATTTTTTTGCGGAAATTACACTTATACACTTTTGATTTTTTGCATGACTTCATTGTTATAAACCTATGGTCCTACGATAAATATACGTCATGTAGCCTAATTTAAAAAAAATTAGCTCTTAAAATATACAAGCCGCGTTCAAAAATTTGCATTTCTGTTGAAAATATTGAACTTTAAATTTTGTCTAAAAATCTCTATGTGTAAGTTCGAGTGACCAGCAGTTTATAAGCACCAATTTATGACAATTCATAGGTTTGCTAAAAATATCCGAAAATCTGGTCAAATCCTCGCTGTTAGCAATGTTAATAAGAAGAACTCTAGTACCCCCATTAAAACGATGGTGTAAACATTGGAAGAAGATAGATTTGTAGAAATGTTGTCAATTCTTGAGTAAGACTGAACAGTTCAAAGTATAATATTCCTTACCTTAATTCCTTACAAATACCGCTAAAGGACTCATCGATATTCACAATATTCACGTTCTGCAAAAGAAGTCCAGTAAACAACATCCCAATCAATGCCGGCATCGTCGTTAAACTCATCAACCATCCCCCAATATGGGCGCAAATTGTTAGAAATATTAACTGGAATAGTTTTCCGTTTGGTGGCGCGGCCGTCTCCCCGACTATCGAATAAAACACGCACCACGTAAATACGCCTATAAGCGTAAGCGTAATTATCCTTGTGAATTGTCTGTATGTCGGGCAGAATGGATATGGACATAATTTTGGCCAAAAACCAGGTTTCCATGATTGTAGTCCGTCATCTGAGCGGCACTTTAGACAGAACAGGTACCACCATGATCTAAATTTAAAAAGGGCTGTATTATTTTAAAATTGCGATTCCCCAGAGCAGGTTTCCATCTGGGTTACCTACTGTGCTTAGGTCGTGTCTTGTAATCGATAAACTTTAATGTGGAGATATTTTCATTGAACATTGAAATCTTCCAACCCACAAAACTGGAAAACAACCCAAAAGGGTTAGAAGTTTTCTACCAAAATGAAATTGACCTATTTACTGTGTAAAAATTGGGTCTTAAATGAAATGAAACATGACATAATTAATGCACAGTAGGGATAGATTTGACTCAAGAAACTCCAACGAAAAAGGAGTTGCAGAAAAATAAATTAAAATATGAAAAATAATTTAATGATTAATATTAAATATTAAAAATAATTTTTTGATTTAATTGGCTTTTTAACCCTTTCATTGCCACGCACGCGAATTCACGTGAGGTAGGTACCATCTCACACGGCAAGAACTTGAATTCGCGTACAACCTAATTTTACTTTGTATTAAGATTATTCAGTTGGCGTTTCAAACAGAGTAATATAGAGTAGCGTGTTAATAATATAGTTAATATAGTTGCATCATGCTCGACAAAGAGGTTTAGCTCAATCTTCAAACACGCGATGGCGTGTTCGTAGTTATACGTAGGCAAAAGTGTTCCACAAAAAGACATGTTCCATGAGGCAAGCAACTTTTTTTTAAAATTTACTTCCACATCACATTCATGTTTAGTATCCATAAGTACCACGTGCGGCGTACCATTTTCAGATATTAGCACATACTTTGATTTTCTTTTACTATACGGAGAACGGTCGCACTGCGCAGCTTTCTGAGTACCTTTTAAAAGGAGATAGAAAACTCCGCCATTTTAAACCCTTATTACGTGTTGCCTACATCTTGGCGCAATATTTTTAATAGGTGCGTTTTAATCATCCGCTTCTGCTTCGGAATTGTCAGTTTTCTTGTTTAATATGACAGGTTAAAACGACAAAACCGACAATTCCGGAAGCAGAAGCGGATGATTAAAACACACCTGATATTTTGCTTGCTGCTGTCAGTGTCAGTGAACATTATTTTTGAAGTCACAGTTTATTGCTAAAGAATCAGTCAGCTCACTCGGACCAGTTGAAAGTTCCAAAATAACATCCACTCCAGGGATACAAATTCAGGATACGCAGAAGACTGCTGTTTTATTATAGGCGGTTGTCATATATTGTATTATCCGAGTTGCACAGTGTATAAACTGAAACATTGAGATCAAAAGTGCCGACGCAGAGTGAGCGATCTGATTCTTTAGCTGTAAACTGTGTCACAGGGTTCAAAATGGCCGCGCCCTATGTTGGGCGTGTCGGACTTCTCTCTTGCCTCGTATAGTAATCAAAGTATGTGGATATTAGGCATTCCAAACTGAATGGCTACCAGTGGGTTTTGACAGGTTATGATATGGCAAAATTATGGCAACCCTGTAGGCCTGGTGATTTGACAAGGTCAATGAAATAGATAGTTACATAGATTAATCATCCATATTTTTCAAATAAGCATAGGCTTATGCCTTGAAGTAAAAATGTAAGCAATTATTATTTTTTAAATATCTAAAGGCTGAAAATTGGTTTTAAAACACATTTTTGCTAAACCGATCAGTACTGATGAAGACCAACAGTCAGAAACACGTGTCTACGGTTTGCCTTTAGGCATTTTTTTTTATTCTTTTGCGGTATTTGCCCAATAATCCTTTTATCTTTTAACTATATATGTATCATTGACCCTGTTATCATATCTGTTGTCATATCTAAACTATCAGTCCCCACTGGTAGCCATTTGGACAGGTCGTTGGAAGGCCTAATTGAACCAAGTCGTACGGCGTTTGTGACTGTTGGTATTAGAGGAGGCAGTCACATGAAAGGAACGTATTTTTTTTGGTTGGGCATTTTTGAAATTGCGTAGAAAAATAAACTGATAGATTTATACAATTTTCATAATTTGCTATACTTAGCTCATTCAAGATTAGGTTATATTGCTTTATTTAGGAGTGTACAATGAATGGTTTACTGTAGGCAAATTTTTAAAATATATGTGTGATATTTTCACAATGAGACAATATTTTTGGTCCACAATGAGACAGATGTCTAATTGTGGAACATTATACATACGTAAACGGCTTTACTTAAAAACTTATTATGTAATGATTTTTAGCCTACCAAAATGACGAGGGGCAGACAACGGAAAACCACGAAAGGCAATTTTACCAAACCTAAAATGGAGGCCGCCGTTCGAATGGTGATTGAAGAACAAAAGAGTCTGAGAACATCTGCCGAAAGGAATGGGGTGAAGTTTCAAACTTTACAACGATACTTAACAAAACTATGAAGACTAGAGATAAGGAGGCGGTCCCAAAAATCACACTTTAATTGAGCTTTTATAATTAACCGCATAGGCGCTGGTACGGTTTACGTAGTTTAAAATACATGGCTTCTTATGGGAATTATACATAATTTTGTCAAAATAATAAAAATAAACTTGTTTATAGCTAAATAAAGCACAGAACAGACTGTTGTATTTATTTTTAAATAAGTCTTACATATTTTAATTGATACATTATTTACTATTTATTCCTATTTAGTAAAATGCAAATTATTGATGATAAGTGTTGAAATTTGATTAGGGCTAATTATTTTTTAATTAAAGCTAAATAGGACTGAGGGCATACTAAGACACGGTTTAAATGAAAATATTTGCTTAGCTATTTTAGAAAATTTTGATTTTAATTATTGTAAATAAGTCTTTGTTTTAATTGCTAACTAAAGTACAGAAAATACTGTTGGTATTAATTATAAATGAGTCTTTATGTTAAACATGATTTACTATTCATTATTTAATTTTATCTAAATAAAATGAAAATTAGGTATGACCAAAATTGGAAAGGTTTGTTAAAGGCTACACAAAAGCGGTATTTATAGATTAAACTGTAACGATTGCAATACTACTTATATAGGGAAAATCGAGAGAAGACTCAACATACGAGCGGGTGAACACATTAGATATCCAGACAAGTCTACTTTTGGACATCATATTAAATTTAATAATCACAATTTCACTCCTTCTGAGAATGTCACTGTCCTTCATAATATTTTTAATTGCAACTTTAAATTAAATCTGCTCGAAGATCTTGAGATACACCGAGAGTTTAATAAAACTAATATCACATGTGTTAACACTCAAATCCATCTCAATAGCAAAGTGCCTCTTCTCTTTAAGAGTATTGGCAACGGTTGGTCTGAAGTTACCTATCTAGCTTCTCCATGAATCTTCGTACAGCGGAGTTGATCTTGTATTCTCCGGTGATATCTGATTTCGTGGCCAGGACGGTTTTTAGTCAGGCACCTTTTAATTCCAATAATTTTATATAAAAAAATGTGTTTTTTACCTTCATTCACTGTATATTTTATAATTCTATTTAATCATTGTAATGTTTGATTGTTTAAAATTTATAATTCCCTCCATAACTTATGCTTGCTAGTTCAATGGTACCAACCCACTTTTATCTTTGTCAATATTAACTTTTGATCATTTCTCATGAAATTCATTTCTATTTCTCAAGTTGGCAATTGTCTTGACAACTTTATTGTCAACTGTCAATTGTCACTCAGTTCTTTTTGGCACTGTCAAGATCTCAGAGTAAGTAAGTGTCAAGATGGGTACTTTTTCCGAATTTTCGCTAACGTTCTACGACTTCTTGTGCCCCAACTTGCCTCCGCCTCTCGGCAGCGACTTGGAAGGGTCAGCTGGCTTCATGCCGAAGTACAGTGTTTTATCTTTCTCTACCTTTGAACGGGTGAGATTGTTTATTTCTACGTGTTGGGATGAGCCCCTACGTATTTTTTTTTTAAATTGCCACCACCTTTTAGGAGTGGTTCTGTTATTTCTTACGACTCAAGCCTCAAGTTATGGTGGAGAACAGGGACCGTATTGTGGCAACCCTTTTTTAATCTAGTTATATATTAATTTTCATGCTTCTTCTACATTTATTGACGAGTAAGTTTTCAAGATGTTTTATTTTTTATTCATTGTTCAGGAAAATCACGATTTGATTATATTGTTATAGCTTCGTTTTTTCTCTCTTTGTAGTATCTCTGATGATGGCCTAATAGGCTGAAAGCGCTCAGACTAATATTACTGAGTTTTACTAATAAAACTCTACCTACACACTTTAAATACTTTTGATTCATTTCTTATTACCCAGTGTGTACACACCACTAAACCTCTTTAGAGATTTATTAGCTTTGATCGAAATATGATGGTTGTAAATAAAATAGTATACACACCTCGGTAGGAAGTTTCATTCCTGTCTCAAGATCATAGCTAACCTCGACGCTTCGCGTCTTGGTGATCTAACTAATCCCACGACAGGAATGAAACTTTCCACCTCAGTGTGTAATATACTATTGTCTCCCCACAAATTTTAAAAGGATATCCCAAGGCAAAAGATTTGAAGCAAAAAGGAAAATCTAGAAATAGGAAGAGTATTATTGCCCCAGAAATCCATTTAATCCATAGAAAGAAATAAGAAAAAGGAAGCCCAGGATATAGGGAAGCGTAGAAAGATAACTGAAGCTAAAACCAGACTTTTTAAATCATCAAGTGATGATAATGACGATGATTATTAAGATAACGGTTGAACTTTCGACGACCTGAGCGAGGAAGAACCCACCAAGAACCTCTTTGAGTACACCAAATTAGAAAGAGAGCCTATTATTAACATTCAATTTACTGAATCGTTAAAAACAACTAAGATATTCTACAATGGAAAATATGAAGGGAGAAGGAGAACGAGTTTGTGATTACTTTTCTACGAAAAAGTAACAAATACCTAAATGCCTTCACGTTTCCATTGAAAGAAGACGTAAGTTAGAAACCGAAGAAGGACGTAAAATTAATTCTGTCGAAATATTTAGTGGTGGGTAAAACTAAACGACAGCAAAATATCATTCGCTTTGAGATAAATCTGAGTTTCTTAA